ATGTCGCAAACTTTCAGATTTTCATGTTTTCAGTTTGGAATGCTTAACCTTTACCAAAAATGGTTTGCATAGTAATACGAATAACTATTGCTATCGTTCCTATTATTACCTCCGCCAATGTTTTTGACGGCGTTGGTTTGTTGGTTAGTTTGTTTGTTAGCGGCCTAGCTCAAAAAGTGCTGGCTGGATTTCATCGAATTTTTGGGGACAAGTCAGAAAGGGACTAACTTAGAACTGATTAAATTTTAGTGACATTCTGAATTACCTTCTGGTTATTATTATTATTATCATTATTTAATCAATAAACAAGTTCGGTACACAAATCTACGGTAAACGTGTGCCACATTTCACTGACATTCCGAATTACCGTCTGGACGCAGCAGCGGTGTAAGTACATTATATACGCACCTTGGCGGAGGTCTGCACTCTCTGAGTGCTTTTCTAGTTATTACCTTTTTTAGTTTCATCCTGTTATTATAATTTTGGTTCTATTTATATCATGATTACTAGTAAAAATATTATCCTCATAGTTATGATCAATTTCATAATGTTCAATTTATTTTTTCATTAATTACAATTTTCGTCATATTTTATGATCATTATTCAATATCGCTGTTACTATTATCATTTTTATTTGCGGTTTGTATATCATCATTACCGTTAAAACTATCAACTTTGTTAATATCCGCAGCACGATTGATATTCTCAAAATTTCAGTATTAAAACCGTAGCTTCCATCGTATCAATCGCCATATAACCATGGCTATAGACACTTTTGCGTGCAAAGGCGAAACAAGTGAAAAGCAACAAATGAATCGAGAATCGGAAACCCTCTCTCCCAGGCCAGAATCCGTTGATTGGGTTTCGAATCGCCTTCGCGAGTCAAACATCGGGCGAGCTACATCCGACACCGCGGTCGTCCGCCGCAGGAAATCAGGAAATAAAACTCTCGTGTGCGGAATATTCGCTGAGTCAGGCAATATTTAGGGGAGACAGAAACGAGGGGAGGTGTGTGGGGAAGAGAGAGGGGGGGGCAAGAGGGAAGAGAGAGAGAGAGAGAGAGAGAGAGAGAGAGAGAGAGAGAGAGAGAGAGAGAGAGAGAGAGAGAGAGAGAGAGAGAGAGAGAGAGAGAGAAAGAGAGGGAGAGAGAGAGTATGAGAGAGAGAAAGGGAGTAGGCAGACAGACAGAGGGAAAAAAGTATGATACTGCCAGAAACTTTTTTATTGCATATATATGTATATATCTATATCTATATGTATATATATATATATATATATATATATATATATATATATATATATATATATATATATATATATATATATATATATATATATATATATATATATATATATATATATATATATATATATATATATATATATATATATATATATATATATATATATATAATTCCCCTCTCTCTTTTTCTGGCAAGTCAGCTAATCCCCGGGGTTCGCAGAAACGGTTTGGGATCCAATGCCGTTACCTGCCTCCTTAGCCTCCGACATATTGGATCTCCGGCCAGTTAAAAATCCTCAACGTAAACTTGCTCTTCGGCTTCACGGCTTCCCGGCTTGCGATGGCCCCGTTCCTCATGCGTCTTCGCCTGCTCCTGTTCCTTGTCTTTGTCGCTTCTTAATGTCCTTTGTTGCTGTTCCTGCGTCGGTGTCTCCGTGTGTGTCTATGCTTGTTCCCGTGCCAGTGCTCTTTTCATTCGTTGTCCTTATCATTAGTCCCTGCGGCTGTGTATGCCTTGCGTTAATAATAAAACCTTTATTAAAAGTCGTAATTCGATACCCCTACGATATTATGCCTCAGGGAATTGAAACAAAAGAGCCTCGTTCACTCTTGCTCTTCCTTCTTTTCCTATTCTTTATTTCTTCTTTCCCTCTGCGGGAGAGATGTCTTTCAGTGACCTTTAGCATTTCATGCGGTTGGGTGGCAGCAGTTTTTATTAGTTGTTATCATTAAAACGAACATTAACTCAATTATTACTGTTTCTGTTATCGATGTATGTGTGTGTGTGTGTGTGTGTGTGTGTGTGTGTGTGTGTGTGTGTGTGTGTGTGTTTCCGCGTGCGTGCGTGCGTGCGAGTGTGAGTGTGAGTGCGCGTTTGATTGTTAGTGTGTGTGAGTGAGAGTGTGAGTGTGAGTGCGAGTGTAAGTGTGAGTGCGAGTGTGAGTGTGAGTGCAAGTGTGCGTGTGTGTGTGTGTCTAAGCCCTCATTTCTTTTGTTTTCTTTTGATGAGTTTCGCCTTCTATTCATGCCATGGCTTCAGAACTGGTAATCCTCACGCACTCATCTTTTATCTGCATCCTAATCCCTTTCTTTTCAATGTTCTATCATGATCCCATCAACATCCCAATAGATTTCCCATCAACCGCCCCGTCGCTGCCTCATCAATACCCCATTAGTGTGACTCATTATGCTATCAAGTCCACCCCACCATTTGTTGTTCACCATTACCCTGTTCGCTCTGTTCACTTGCTCGTTCTGCACCCAAACGACCCAGAGAAAAGGGAAGAACGGACAACGAGAGACGACC